CCAATTTACTAGATAAAGCACCTTTAACGCGAACGTTACGCATTCTTAATAGAATGGCTGAAGACATTGACCTATTCTATTGCTCCTTGAGTGAATTTACTAGGGTGGGATTGTTTACAATTTGTTACAGTTAATTTCTACATTTTTTGTTATGCATAAAAAGAACTACACTGTCGCATTAGGTTATTCCTGTCCTGATAGTTGTTAGTTTCAATAAATAAATAAATAAATGCCACACAACGATAATAAGTAATAAAATTGTTTACAAAAAAACATAGGTGTCTAAGGTCATTAGTTTTATGTTATTTTATACTGTTTTTTTTAACGGTTGGAAAGGAAATTAACCAATTATTGAACTTAAGATATTGATTTATCAGAATTATTTAAGATTACTTGGATGCCATCTAGCGTGCCAATGTTTAAACGTCGCCTTTCGTTTGCTTGTCAAAAGTCACGCACACTACTAAAGAAGTGTCAAATTTTTCCGGGATTTCACTATTGTGTTTCTCGGTATATAATGTAAGTTATTGCCTATAAAGGTCAGAGGCGTACACATTTCATTGTAGAGAAGTGATAAAATGATTAGTTTTAAAGAAAGAGTGTCTGTGTTTAGTGTATATTATGGTTAAAAAATGTATGAGCGGACGGTCGACGCATCCACCTTAAACGAAAAAGCGACAGTAAAAAGAGACAGACACATAATTTTTTTTTCTTTAAAAAACATAAAATTGAATGTGGGAGAGAATGAGATAGAAAGCATTATCGATTATAGCTTAATGCTCGCGAGAAAAAAGTCGTAAACGCCGCCGAAACGGCGTCGCTTACGCGTTTTGTTCAATAAGGTACGAAGGTGTCGTGTGCTTCGCTGGTATTCTGTGAGAGCGTAGTCCTGCCCTGGTCGAGCCGACCCATATGTGCTACAACTATAATATAGCTGCAGCATGGCTCTACCACATAAAAACTATAACTGTAACTTTACGCAAAGCTCAAGTACGAACATGCATGGAGTATTGTAGTCACCTTTGGGATGGCCCAGCAAAATATTGACTCAGTGGAACGCAGAGCCAAGAGGTTTATCGGCGACAAAAAGCTGGTGAAAACTACGCTTCACAGCTTAGCTCTCTAGTTTGTTAGTCACTCAAGTTGTTTGTTTGTCGGCCTTCTACTGATTTTACTTCGGAGTGTGCCTATAAGCTTCATAAGCTCATAACGCCATTTCCATTCGGCTCTATCTGAATACAAGACTGCAAGTTACTACTCTACACTTGGTTGACATTGCGAATATTCGCACTAAGCGCTATACTTCATCTTTTATAACGCACACAACACAGCCAAGAAGTGGAATGCCCTGCCGGCGTCTGTTTTTCCAAGTACCTATAACCTGGAACTCTTCAAGGTACGTGTTAACAGGCTTTTCCTGGACAAAATCACTCCATCGTAGAACTCATTTTTTTGTCCCTAGGCTAGATGGAGGTCAAGAGTGAGCCCATTTCTGCTTTAAAAAAAAAAACGGAATTTTCGGCCCATTCTTAATTATTTTATTTGTACAATTTTATCAAATGCGTCTTACAAAGAAACATAATTTACATTATTTAACATTAAAACCTACGAGTGCAAACAACATGGTAGAGTATGCAACAATTCATCGAGTTAGCGCGCTGACATTAAGATGTTTGAAGTTCATAAAATATTAAGCGCGCGTAAATTTAAATGTTTTCTAGTAATCTATTGATATTCGATGTTGGAAAATTATTTAGTTTTTTCTCGACATAAAAAAAGTCTTTGATAGCGTCTCTGTCCCCACTCTTGTAAAGAAACTCGAGCAAATAGGCATTCAAGGTAAACCCCTAGATTTATTTAAAGATTACTTAACAAACCGTAAACAACAGGTCAAAATAGGAGAGCATTGTAATTATGATTCTACCATTACCTACGGTGTCCCACAGGGGAGTGTACTGAGTGCGACTCTATTCTTGGTTTACGTAAACTCCCTATGTAATATGTCGCTACAAAATGGGCACGTGTTACCGTATGCAGATGACACTGCTTTGGCATTCTGTGGTCGAAGCTGGGAAGATGTGCGGCATGGCGCTGAAGTGGGGTTAGCCAAGGTTGCAGAGTGGTTGAGACTACATTTATTAACTATCAATACCTCTAAGACTAACTATATATGTTTTACTAACTTCATTCTTGTGTTGACCTTAATAACTCTTAACTGCCCATGCCCTCACATAAACAAAGTATCAAGTACAAAATATCTTGAAATACTATTGGATCTACATATTTAACGGTTAATGACTAGTATTAGAAAATTCATATGGTTTTTCAAAATTTTGAGACATCTTGCAACACCACCTATATTAAAACAAGTATATATTTCTTTAGTTCAATCAGTTATGGTATATTGTATTAGTATATGGGGAGGTGCTACAAAACCAAAGTTTTTAGATTTAGAAAGAGCTCAGAGATCATTACTGAAAGTTATGAATTTTAAACCTTACAAATTCCCAACACAAGATTTATACACACTGTGTGATCTTCTTACAGTTCGTAAGTTATACATGTTAAATATAGTTCTTAAGGTACACAAGTCCCTTGCACATAACCCTGAAATTGAAAATAAAAGGAGGAAAACTAACATAGCTCCAAGTGATCCGGTTAAAACAGCATTTGCTAGACGGCAACAGGCACAAAAAAGTCCTCTTATTTATATAACTACTTAAATAAAGAATTGAATATTTATTCTAAAACAAGTAAAGAATGTAAGATAATTCTCATTGAATGGCTCAGATGGAAAGACTATCACGAAATAGAAAATTTGTTAAAATAACACAGCTTACAAAACACGCACGCACACATATGCAGGCATACACACACACACACACACACACACACACGCACGCACGCACGTACGTACGTACGTACGTACGCACGCACGCACGCACGCACGCACGCACGCACGCACGCACACACGCGCGCTCGCTCTCGCGCTCGCGCTCGCGCACGCGCACACGCACACGCACACGCACACGCACACGCACACGCGCACACACACACACACACACACACACACACACACACACACACACACACACACACACACACACACACACACACACACACACACACACACACACACACACACACACACACACACACACACACACACACACACACACACACACACACACACACACACACACACACATACACACACACACACACATACACACATACACACACACACACACACACACACACACACACACACACACACACACACACACACACACACACACACACACACACACACACACACACACACACACACACACACACACACATGAGCGTGCGCGCACACATCTTCATATTTTTTCATAATTATTTTAGGAAAGGAATTTATTATGCTATTCTTGTAACTAAATTATAGTATGTTAATTAAGGAAGAGCGAGTTTTTCCTATCACAAGTATTTAATAACATACTTGTGGACTGTATTACAAATGCCTACAATAGTAGTAGTAGTATTTACAGTGGAGCTTCTGAAAGCAGGTGGAAAACCGGTACTTAAAGATCTTCAGAAGCTCCTTAATTCGGTCCTCCATGGTGGAAATACTCCAGAGATGAGGAGCAAAAGAGCGGTGGTCTTACACTTTAAGATTTCCTTTCTGAGCCGCGTCTACGTGCTTTTTCGAGTCATTACGAATCGTCTCGTACGCAGATTTGACGACTTATGACGTACTATGAACCACATACATACATACCCTTCGGCAGATTGTACAGAAGATCGAAGAGTACAATCTGCCACTTTGCCTTGCATATGTGGACTATGAGAAAGCCTTTGATTCCATCGAATTTTGAACGGTGCTACAGCCCCTTCATCGGTGTCAAGTTGACTGTCGGTATATCGAAGTATTTGTACAATAGGGCTACGATAGCTATCTGAGTACAGAACTAGAATACGAAAGCTATCCAACTGCAGAGAGGTGTAAAACAGGGTGACGTTATATCCCCTAAACTCTTCACCGCTGCATTATAAAATGTTTTCAAGCTACTGAACTGGAAAGGAAACGGTATTAATATCAATCGCGAATACTTCGGTCACCTTCTATTTGCGGACGATATAATCCTTATGGCAGAATCGCTGGAAGACCTAAGCACTATTCTCAATGACCTCAATAGTGTCTCCCAATGGATAGGTCTTAAAATGAACATGAAAAAAACAAATGTCATGTGAAATGTCCATGTCACTCCTATGCCGGTAGTTGTTGGAAACACTTAGCCCGAAGTTGTTGACGTGTACGTTTACCTGGGACAAATAGTCTGACTAAGTAAGTCCAACTTCGACCGAGAGGTCGATCGACGGATTCAACTCGGCTGGGCAGCGTTCGGTAAATTACGACATATCTTCTTGTCAGGTATAACTCAAAACCTGAAACCGAGATTGTACAACCAGTGGGTGTTGCCAGTGATGACTTATGGATTTGAGACATGGTCCTTCAATGCTGGCCATATCAGGACGCTCAAGTTCGCTCAGCGAGCTATGGAGAGGGCTATGCTCGGGGTTTCTCTGCGTAATAAACTTAAAAATGAGGATATCCACAGTAGAACCAGTGACCGACATAGCCCAATGGATTAGTAAGCTGAAATGGCAATGGGCTGGTCTATAGCTCGAAGAACCGACAACCGATGGGGGAAAAAAGGTTCTCGAGTGGCAGCCTCGTACCAGTAGGAAATGTATACTGTATAGGGCAACCCCCAACTAGATGGAGTGATAACCTGGTAAGCCTCGCAGTAAGTCGATGGATGCAGGTGGCTCAGGACCGTGCTTTGTGGCATTCCTTAGGGAAGGCCTATGTTCAGCAGTGGACTTGTGAAGGGCTGTAATGATGATGACGATGACAACAGTTAGCCTAAAAAATCACACACTCTAAAGTGAACTTATGCTTCAGAATTGAAGAAATTAAAACAAACACATAAGTAATGTTTACTAAAACTCACCTTTCCCTTTCTTTGTCTTTCTCCTTCTCTTTGTCTCGTTCCTTTTCTTTTTCTCGCTCCTTCTCTTTATCTCGCTCTTTCTCCTTTTCCCTTTCTCTCTCCAACTTCACTCTATCAAGTTCCACTTTCACTTTAACTTCACTTTTCACTTTAGTAGGTTCTGTTTTTACACTGGTGCAAATAGTGGGGAAGACTTGAGGGGATGTTGCCCTCTCTTGTTTAATCTTTAATGGCAACTCTAGATTACCATAGCAAGGCAACTCTCGACGCGGTGTTGTTTGGAATTTAATAGCTTTGAGAGCCATACTGAAGTGTGTAGCTGGACGTCTATGGTTAGAATGTTCCAGAAGAACATTTGACCTTGTTACTCTAGGATACTTGTACCTAGGCATGGACTTTTGAAAATGTGCATTGATTATTTTCAACTGACGCGACACTGAAGAGAAAATACGCTTTGTGACATCATCGCGTGGTATAGTGTTCGTTAATCTGGTCTGTTTCCATGAAGCACTAATTCCACCAAACCAATCTTCTTTTAGCGGTTCTGGGTGAATCTCCAACAAGCTGAAATCCTTATCTTGATTAAACAGTAGAGGATTAACAATGTTTGGAGATTTCTGCAGAACATGAAGAGTAAGTATTGCTGCATCTCCATATCCTCCTGAATCAAAGACAGGCCAAATTTTACTGAGCTTAGCAGGTTTGGAATTCTCGCCCCAAACGCATATGTCCTTGGAGTCATCACTGTGTTTGCGCTTTCTACCTGTAATTATAAAGTTATTGTCAAACTTTTTGTTATCATGGGTAAATTATAAAGAAATCAATTTAAAACATTTTATTTAATTATTTCATTAAATATTATCATGTTAAACGTAATTATTATATTAAAACTCAATCTATACTTATACTAAATTAAAGTGTATGTATGTAATATTGAAGCCTTTTATTAAGCTGATCCATTAAGACATGAGTTACCATTTTATTTGAATTTTATGTCTCTGTGTCTAACTGTCAGGGCTTATCTTTGGAATGGCTAAACCAATTGTAATAAAACTTTATAGAGATAGTGGTAATACCTGGAGTGATCTAGGGTACAGTTTAGTATATATCCTTGGTTAAAATTCTTTATATCTCCTAAACAATTTGGTAATTATATACAAAGTGCTATAGATACAGAAGTATATGTTTATATGTTTATACATATGGATATTTCTATGTTTATTTATATATATATATATATATATATTCATTTAGGTTATATCAGCTAGCTCATAGACAGCTTATTACTATAATAAGAATATTTAAGAATATAAGTCATGGATGCCTATAATTCGATACGATCGATCGAGACGGATTCAACTCGGCTGGGCAGCGTTCGGGAAATTACGACACATCTTCTCGTCAGGTATACCTCAATCTCTGAAAACTAAAGTGTACAACCAGTGCGTGTTGCCAGTGATGACTTACGGATCTGAGACGTGGTCCTTCACTGCTGGCTGTATGAGGACGCTCAAGGTTGCTCAGCGAGCTATGGAGAGGGCTATGCTCGGAGTTTCTCTGCGTGATAGACACAGAAATGAGGATATCCGCAGTAAAACCAGAGTGACCAATATAGCCCAAACGGATTAGTAAGCTGAAGTGGCAATGGGCCGGCCATATAACTCGAAGAACCGATAACCGATGGGGAAGGAAGGTTCTCGAGTGGCAGCCTCGTACCGATAGGCGTAGTGTAGGGCGACCCCCCACTAGATGGAGTGACGACCTGGTAAGACATGCTGGAAGTCGATGGATGCAGGTGGCTCCGGACCGTGCTTTGTGGCGTTACTTGGGGGAGGCCTATGTTCAGCAGTGGTTTTGTGAAGGGTTGTAATGATGATGATGATGATGATGCCTATAATTGGTAAGACAATTGAATTGTACCTCAATTATTTATACTATTTTTGAAAGTATGGTGTACTTTATGTTGGTGATCCTACAAAATACAATAAACAAAATAATTAAATAAATAGACCAAATTTTTGTAATGGCAGCTAGTCATAAAATAGACATGGAATTTGCATAGTACAGCATTAAAATGCACAAGTGTGTATGAAAACACAGATGCACTCTCTAGGCCCTCATTCTCATAGTCAAAGCAACCCTGGTTTAACTAAATTTGATCAATAAGCTGCAGTTTTCAAGAAAGTTAAGTAAAGTAAAAAAAAAATTAAATTCTTTCCTACTGTAGCTGCATCATTTCATATACAAAATGTTTGGGCTTATTCAAAAACTTCATTCAAAAAGTCCATGAAGTATTGTGAAAAGGTATTGTTAAATGTTTTATAACTTTTGATGTAAGAAAACTGCAAGAGGGGTTATTTCTGTTAAAATTATTACTTATAATTATAACAGATATTGTTATTATAATTTCTTATATTTACGTGAACACTACACATTTAAATACAAGTTTTTACAGATTTTATTGCGTATATTAACTTTTTATGTACCCTATTTAGGTACTACTGCATCTTGAGGGATGCATCAGTGTGTACAAGCTTGATTGTGAATAGGGTCTCTCTTACAGTGAGTTTGCACTGATGCAATTTTCACAAAAAACATTGTTTTAAACACCGTTTTCTGTGAATGTATCAAAAAGCGTTTGCATAGTCAAAGAACATGTTGTAGTGAAATATGTTTGACAGTTTATTGTACATTACATATTTTAACTATATCTTTATAACCACAGAAACAAAATATTTGAAAACAAATTTGTAGAAATAAAGCCATGTTGAAAGATAAGTTTAAATACCTGTAGAAAATTTTACAGTTTTTGTGAGTGCGAATGCCACCATCGACAAAACATGTTGTGTGATTGATTTTATGCGATTGTTTCAAAACATTATGTGTTGGATGTTTCTCAGTGTAAACGTACAGTAACAAAGGACAAACTAAAAGATCAATTAAAACCCTTGTTAAAGAACATATAGCTGATGTGAATAATCGACGCTCCGAGAAGTCTGCAGTCTATGTACATGTACAGGATCGCCCCCGTCACTACACAAGATTTGATAGACAAAATCCAATCAAAATCCTCGCTAAAGAACACCGATTCCTTCCAAGGATTATTCTTTAGGCTATTGAAATCAAAACAGATCCTAATTTCAATTGAGAAGATGGCTGGGCGCTACCATCCTATAATCAATAAAATTAAATCTCCATCCCAAGCATACCACTGCTAGACTTCAAGATACTACAAGTTCATACTATGTAGATCGGAACAAAAATTAATAATTTTAATATGTGGTAATCGCCATCTGGACCTTGAACATTTCAGTCCCCCTGTGACCATGGGTGCTGTAAAGTGCTCTTTTCGAGCGGGTATATAAAAAAGTTAATATACGCGATAAAATCCGTAAAAACTTGTATTATTTATTTATCCTTTATTTCAACACACCTTCAACTAGGGCTTACAAAGGGTATATGAATTCCAAAGATGGAATACATAAAGATGTCGGTTGGTGCAAATTAAGGACAATAAAACTAAACTGTTGCAAACTAAATTGATGTACCTCACCTAGCCATCATTGAAGTGAAAACTTCTTTAGAATCATTGTGATTTGAAACCAGATGAAATGAAAAAGCCACACTAAAAAGAGACAAACGTACACATCTATAGGATTTAGCCTGCGAGAGAATGAGATAGAATACAGTAGAAGTAATAAGTGACAGTAACCTAATGGCAGGGTGCGGACAAGAAACTCAAAAGGTTGTGGGTTCAAATCCGCATTCAACTACTGTTGTGAACCATTCGGAACAGTATTTTCAGCTTACCAGTAGTGGTTAAACACACAATACATCGCTAGTATTATGTAAATACAGTGTGTCCTATTATCTCGGTCTCCTCTTTGTGTAGTGCTTTAAAGATGGTTAGTATAAATTTTAACTGTTAAAATAAACAATATAAAAAATTAACAACTTTATTGGAAATAAATTGGCTGTTGGATTTTGGCTGTTACTTGACAAAATGATTTTATTAAGAGATATGAGGTATCTTCAATTAATAGATGCAATCAGAAAATATGTTTAAAAATTAAATCCAAAATATTGAACCAAACTGATTAAAAAAAAATTATTCGTAATGAGTTGTTGGACGGAACAAGTTATGGAGCACAAAGAAAATAGTGTGAAAAAGTTCTGTGTAATATGAATTATATTTTCAACATAAGAAAGGCATACAAATAATTCTGGTAGGAAATCCGAGATTTTTTCTTGTAAATAAATATAAATTTGTATCTTGTAAATTAAAAATTAGTGTAAAATAAAAATCTGAAAAACCGCGAAATATAGTTACTGCGGTTCAAAATTTTTGTTCTTAAGCTGGGCGAAGACTGCGGAAACAGCAACAAATAAATACTTGTTTAAACAACTTTGATAAACAATAAGTTTGACTCTTCTAAAATTCGCAGAAAAAATTCCAAAGGAGTACTTTGGATCTTATTGTTTTTCCTCAAAATTGCAAAAGTTTGAAAAATACTAATAAATAAATGACTCGGCTAATTTGCCTAAAAATTCGTAAAATGTCTGAATTAGGTGGCTTTGGACATCACAATTCTGTCTTTAACTTGTCAATGAATAGAAAAAATCGGCATGTCCATGCCCTGGGCATTTGTTTAAACTTGAGGCTGAAGCTAGCTCTGATCCAGCTCAATTTCCACAAATATATTCAGAGACTTCGTCAAATATTTATTTAATTTGGTTACACAAATGCTGCCCCTGGCTCTACGATTTTTGTCTAAAGTCCGTTGCATCTAAGACACACATTTAGGGCCTTTTAGAAATTACTTTGACATAAATATCGAGATAGATCATATCTCGATTTTTATGTCAAAGTAATTTCTTATGTTGATTTCGAAATTTCGCTGATAAAATTATTAAAATTTTTGTAAGCAATAGCTTTTCTGGCTCACTACTATTTTTATATCTTCAAAATACAATCCAATAGTCTAAGCCTAAGTTTTTTGAAAGATTCACGACCTATTAATTTTTTTTAATTAAAAATTCGACATTTAGAATTGTTCATAATTTTTAAACATAAGCTAGCTGCCCTAGCTGACTATAATTTTTTTTCAGACTGCAATCTCAAAGCAAAGGCCTAATTTTTTCAAACAATTTACTCCTCATATTTTTCGCACTATTTAAAAATTGTCGACTTATATTTTTTCAACGATTACAATTGAATTTCTAAATTTTTTTCTTTCCGCTCTAAAACGATTGTTTAAAGGTCTACTTTTTTTTTGATATTTCACATTATTTTTAGAATTTTCAAGCTACAGTCACTAACCTGTGTTATATTATATTCTAGTCATTGGTAAAACTTCAATATAGCTTGTCTGACCTTAACTGACCTAATCTCCTAGGAGCTGAAACTAGCTAAACTAGCTTAATTGTTTAAACAATCCTGATTAGAAATCTCTCACAGTCGGATGGAATGGCATAAAAATTTCGAAAAACTTCGAAATTGGTTAAGTATGGGTCTTATAAATATTCTTTGGCCTTCTAAGGGCTTTTAAACAAAAGTCCACCAGGCATGGCCGCCATTTGTTTAAATAAATTATCTTAATAATTCTATAATTCTAAAATAATATATAATTCTAAACAGTGGGATATTCCGTTGGCACGGAGTGTCCAGAAAAATTTATTTCAAAATGTACAGTCAACAAGATCAAGCTCGCCTTCTTGCTGTTTTGACTTAGGAATCTAGCCACTGGTTACATGCTCTACCAT